AAATCAGCAGGCCAGTTAAAACATGAAAACAAGTAAAATATCAGCCAGTCTGTAAGCAATTGGGATGGGGGCAAGGAGAAAAATGTATTACTACTAGATTAGCCAGTATGGGGTTTTAAATATATACTGTGCCAAATTAACCGAGTACAAGCTTTGTGGAAAGTGGGGCACCCAAAGACAATACTGGGCCAGATATTCTGAGGAATATATGACTTCCTGACCAAAAGGCTCAACTTCAATTATTTATGCTGGTTTAAATGAGAGTAGAAGCAAGGACATTAGGTTTTTTTGCCTACACGAAATTGATAAATTGATAGTTGTTCCACATGAGGATTATTATAATTCACAAAGAACATAAGAGATTGAAAATGGGCTTCTTTGGTATGCTAACGATTTTTACATAGGAAGCAAATGCAGAGCATGTTCCAGGTCTGTCTGCTAGATATTGGCAATACCCTAAAGAAACTATGAACCCAGTTGTGCCTTCAGTTATGTCTGTTCAGCATCATAATGTGGTTGTGCAACAGAGGACAGAATTTGTCCCTAATGCTTTGGGATATTCCTGGCTAATAATACTTCGTCCTATTGGTTGCACTATTTTACACATATCGTACTTGCAGCACTCCTTTCAGACCCGGTAAATCCTTTTTCTGGGTGCTCTTGTTGCTGAAACCCATGCTGTCCTGGCAAAGTGACTTGCCAACAGTTATGACTTGCCCCTGGGACAAGCTGGTTTGGATACTATTATTCTGGGATGGATACATGATGGAATGGGAATGGGAATAACAAAGATTATTAATAGAACTGTGACAACTTGGGAAGAGGTACTGAGCAGAGATGTGGATGCTTTAGTTCCATGTCTAGTATCACTCAGGAGACTGCATAAAGGGATACATCGATCACAGTCACTAACCACGCAAAGCTAGGAGGGATGGCTAACACTATGGGAGCCTGTCCAGATAAAGCAGGCTGTGCTGAAGTGATGGAAATGGGCAGAGAAATGAGTAGCTCACTTGATGAGAAAGAGACTACGTTTTAAAATGGGGAAAAGCTTCTTTAAACGCAATATTGCAGGGGGAAAAAAAGGTTTTGAGATGGGGAGGGAGGGGAAGGGTTGGCAGGTGATTTAAACTGAACTTGCATATGAAATGTAGAGCTGCCACCAAAGGTGGGTGCTACACTGGAAAGTAGAAACACATGTGTTAGGTGTTGGTCCAGGGAAGACATTATTCCTTTCTGTGCACAGGACACGACTAAGCACCACGTGAAAATCTGAGCACCCTGTTAGCAAAATAGTGGAGAAAATATCATATAAAATGAATCCAAAGTACTGCTATTTAGAACGTGGCCCACAAGGAGAGATTAAGGTAAATGATGTTATACATTTTAGGTAAAAGACGACAGGGGCCAATATAAAAATTACTGAAAGAACTGACATATTTGTTTATAAATACAGCTCATATTTCAAGGGTTGACAATTGGATGTAAATGATCTGTGTTCACTACATAGCAATTAATGATTATATTTCTCCACTTCCATTCTTCTTTCCCGTCTGTTTTTATTCCTTTTTAAGGTTTAAGTTAATCTCTGGATTTCAAGTTAACTTGGGCACATGGATATTAGAGATGGAAAAGACTTGTTCATGCTTCCACCAGTTCAGGATTGTTTCCCCACAGTATAATTCTTCAATGCTTCACATTAGGGACCTGATCAGGGCCTTGTATTTAGTGTTGTCATTTACACCTGTGCAGAGTGAGGGCACAGTAGATGTTAAAGGCTATCAGATCAGAATGGTAGTGTTTTAATCCTGTGTTGCACAGATGTAAATGACTACACTAAGGGAGTGGAGAGTCAGGCCGTATATTTTCCAGTGGGTTTTTTGTTACATACAGATGGAAGTTTTGCTATTGACTTAGATGGGAGCAGGTTGTGAATGAAAGACTATATGAACCCAATCCTGCAAGCTGAGGAGCACCTTCCACACCCATGAAAGTCAGTGGCGGTTGAGGGTAGAGGGAGGTTCAGGAGTGCTCAGAATTTTGTAGGAGTGGGTTCAGCTAACCAGGTTAACTTGAATTCAGTGTGTGTGATGGGGCGAATCCCTTATAGAACTGGGAGTGAGAAAAAGAATCAGCCAAACTGTCAATCACCCAGAGAGATGGTAAGGACTTCTCTGCAAAGGCTTCTAGGTACAGGAGCCCTTTATAAAATGCCTGGCTCTCTCCTAACTAGAGAGTCGGAGTTGAAGAGCTGGTGAGGAAGGGTCATCTCAGCCAGTTATGAGACATATGGAATACTTTAGGCAGGTAAATGGACTGACATTTTGTTATGGAAAAGTATCCCTTGGTTTTCTTTTTTTTTTTTTTAAAAGAATGTTTGGTACTTTGTTTGCTAAACCTCTCTGAACTGCATCTGGCTGACTTGTTTGGCAGCCTTTTTGCTACAGTTGGTGTGAAAGGTGGGATGGCTGGCTTGTGAAGAACCTGACCAGAGGTTGGCAGGTGACTTGAATGTGATACCAGGGATGTTTAAGACACCATATAGAAAAAGCCCTAGATATGGTTTTGTGATGAGCTGATGCATAGCTGGAATGGCAGACATAACAGTGTAAAGGAAGGTTTCTGAAATGAGCATGACACAGTTCAGGAGCTATTAGTAAAAGTACCAAAAATATTTTAAATAAAAAACCCCAAAAGAACAACAAAGTATGTCTTTCCATAAGATAGTGTCAGTCCATTTACCCACTCAAAGTACTCAATATGCCTTATTGCAGGCCCAGGTTCCTCCAGGTCAGAGGTTCTCAACATTTTTCTTTCTGAGGCCCCCCCCAATATGCTATAAAAACTCCACCTGTGCCACAATAACTGGTTTTCTGCATATAAAAGCCAGAACTGCTGGCAAGCAGGACAGTTGGCTGGGGCCGCATGCCACAGGGCCCCCCCACGAAGCTACATTGCTGAGGCTTCAGCTTCAGCCCCAGGTGGCGGGGCTAGGAACCTGGGCGTCAGCCCCACGCAGTGGTGCTTCGGCTTTCTGCCCTGGGCCCCAGCAAATCTAATGCTGGCCCTGCTTGGAGGCACCCCCGAAACCTGCTTGAGGCCCCTTATGGGGCCCCGGACCCCTGGTTGAGAACCACTGCTCCAGTTGACTCTTCTTCATCAACCCTTTAACTCTGACTCTCTAGCTTGGAGGGAGCCAGGGGTTTTAATGAGGACTTCCCAACCCAGAACCCTTTGCACAGAAGAGAAGCTCCTCCCCTGTCTCTCACAGTTTGGGTAGCTAACCAGCTCTTTTCCTCAGTCCTGGTTCTGTAAGGGCTTCACCCCTTCATACAATGGCATTTCTTATTTGAGTGAGGATTGCTCAGGTGAGCTGGGCTTGTAAGATCAGGCCCTAAGAGCTTAGGACAGGAAGTGGCAACACCGTCTTGATGACTGCAAAAAATGCACATTGAGATAAAATGTGATTATCTAAAAAAAATTATTAAGAAAGTAAAAAATGAGGTGGGGGACGGAGAATTATTTGTACTAGTCAATGTGAATATACCAAAACCTAAAATTATCAGAAGAAAAATGTAGTCCCACTAATATACTGTAGAACACTTCATATTTCAAGAGCGAGGCATATTACAGGCCCTGAGCCTGCAAAGATTTCCACCTGTGATTAACTTCATGAATATGGGAAGTCGCATGTACATCAGTGGGACTGCTTACAAATGTACCGTTAATCATATGTGGAGGCCTTTGCAGGATTGGAGCCATAAATCGTAAAGAGTCTGTCAATCATTGAACTGGCATCAGTGGAGGGGTTTAAGGTAAGGTCAGGGGTGAAAGTAAGGGGGTACAGGCCGGTACGGCGTACTGGTAAAAGGTAGCTGCCAGTACCGGCCCATACCGTTGACTTTAAAGTGCTTTAACATCGCTGCCCCTTTTGCGCCCCCAATCAGCGACCCTGCCGGGTCCCTACCAGCAGGGCCACCAATGTGGGGGCACAAAAGGGGCAGCGATGACCCAACGGGGCCACCGATGGAGGGTGCAAACAGGGAAGCAATGTTAAAATGCTGCCCCCTTTGCCTCCCTTACCCCCCAGCTGCTGACAGTGGGGGGTGCAAAAGAAGTAGCTGCCCCGGGGCCGTGATTTAAAAGGGCCTGGGGCTCTGGCCAGCACTGCCACTATTGTGCAGCGCTGGCCGCAGCCCCGGGCCCTTTAAATCGCCGCTGAAGCCCTGGGCAGCGCAGGCCAGGGAGCGCAGATGGACTGGCTGTGGAACGCTGACCCCCCCAGACCCCCCCTTCCGCCCCTTCCGCCGGAGGCCACACCCCTTCCGGGGCAGGGGGTGAGGGGCGGCCAGAGAGGCCCTATACTGGTAAGAGCTGCATTTTACTTTCACCCCTCGGTAAGGTTAAAGAGAAACTTGTGAATAATATCAGATCTATGAATTTGTGAAATGTATGAATTAAAATGCAACAAAAAGATCACAAAATCCTTTTCAACCCAACATAGTACTGACAAATAACAATGCCAGCCTAAGGAACACATAATTGAATACACAAGGAATAGTTAGGAACCACTTTATGAAGGTTACTAAAAGAATGGTCACTTTTTAATATGTTGGTAACCACTGGCAGGAAGAACCTGTTAGTCCTCTCAAAAAGAAAAGAAACGAAAAAGGGTGGAATCTTTATATTAAATGATTATTAAAGATAAAAAGATTAAGCAAATTCTCATTTATTTTGAAAACTAATTCAGCAGTCTCTCTGCAGGACTTAAGAGCTTTAATTGAAAGATGAATTTCTTAGTTTTTTCTCAAATTCAGCCTAACACTTATTTAAATAAATTTAGCATCTAAATAATCAGGGAGAGCATGGGGTCGGGCTTGGCTGACAGCATCAGTGAGCACAAAACAAGGCTGTCAGTAGCATACTCCAGCTTGGTTGCTAATCAAGTTTTAAAATGATCACAGCAACTTAGCTAATTGTATTAATTTGCTTTTCTTAAGGCAGAATGGGGAAACAGAATAGCAAACTGGCCCCTGAAGTGATGGAGGATCTGGTGAAGAGCACGGAGTTCAACGAACATGAACTCAAACAGTGGTACAAAGGATTTCTAAAGGACTGTCCTAGTGGTAGACTGAACCTTGACGAATTTCAGCAGCTTTATGTAAAGGTACGTTATTTATTAGCTTCTTATTCCACAGCCACAAGAAGGGTATCAGAGTGATGCCTCAGTATCTGTAGAGCAAAAATATCCTTCATGGCTATCATTCAAATTAAAGTCTATACTAACAAGGAGCAGACAGGTATGTACATAGGAATTACTATTGCAATTGGACCAGTGGTTCAAATAGATCAGTATTCTGTCTCCGAGAGTAACCAGTACCAAATGCTTCAGAGGAAGGATATAATTTTCCCAAAGGGAAAGAGTCTTCCTAAAGCCTCTCAACTAGAGATTGCTTTATGCTCTGAAGGATGAGGGGTTATGGCCTCTCTCCTGCAAGATGATCCATGTTGGCAGATCCCTATACCTCCATGCAGTGCCACTGGTTTATAAAATGAGTATCCTGTAGATGTTCTCATTACCCATCCAAATATCTATTCCTCTTTTGATTCCCAGTCATTTCTTAGCCCCAGTGAAGTCCTGAGGCAGTGAGTACTATAGACTAATTATGCACTATGAAAAGAAAGTTTCTTTTTGTACGTTATAAATGTATTGCCTTTCCTTCTCATTAAGTTTCCCCTTGTTCTTGGAGTATGAGAGAGGATATGTAGGACATCTCGTTACCTTCTTTTTATTAATCATTAATTTATCATGTACCATGTCTTCTTATTTTACTATGTATTTATTTTGTAAGGGGAGAAACATTGGAGACAGCATGAGATGTGTATTCATATTACAAAAGTAATTACATTCTCATTCAAAATGGAACAGCTGCCTGAAGGTCAGAGGCTTCAAAGTAATTTTAAGTAGGAAAAATATTGGATAGTGGTGATGAACACTTAGTTCAGAAAATTAGAGTGTTAGGTTGAGGAACAATAAAAATGTCTGCAGTCAATTTTACCAGTGCTTTGATGGCCTGGAACTCAGTAATGATCTCTGTAGGCAAGGACTATCTGTATTTATCTGAAATGGAACTGCAGTCCATCTTTCCTGAATTTCCCCAGCCCTGGACCACACCATCCCCACAAATATTATAAGTGGCCCCTTTCCCGCTGCCAGTGACGGTTACTGTACAAACACTGCCATCTGCAGTGTATATGAATTAAGCTACCATCTCTGCACTTTAATTTCTGTACATTAAAACAGCATTCTGAAAAGTCCTGTCCTCCAGAAGACTGTGACTCCCTATTTTGTGACAACCCTGCTATTACTGCTTTAGAGCGTTGTGTTTTGGATTGAGTGATTATTGATTGCCTCCATTTTAGATGATGTTTGGCATGTGTCCTACATTGACTTGCATCTTGTTTCCCATGCATGTTAGTAGGAAAAGTAAATAAGCATTTGCAAAATATGTATGTGTAGCAAAATATATAAAGTGTTTAACTGTTGTAGAACCATTGCTTCCTGTTTGATAAATTACAAATAAAAAGTGGGGAATAAAGTCTAAATAAGTATTTGGGGAGGGAGGTTGAGTGGGAGGGACAGTTTTATGATGTCATCTCCCAGCCATGAGGACTTCTCCTTTTCAAAAGTGTTTCTGAGTCATCCTCAGAGGTCATTGTAGACTCCCACAAGATGCTTTACTCCAGAAGGAAATATCCCAGAGATAAAATTTAATTCCATTGTTACTGAGTGGTAGTGCAAAATGTAAATCACAGAGTATAAAGGTTCATTGCTGCTTAAAAGGATGAGAACTTTGACAACACACAGAGAAGGTAAATCTGGCTACTAGCTTTAGTGCCTTTACATTACACTTGTGTTTGGAAATATAGGCTAAGTAAGATTCCCCAGCGTTTGGATATTCCTATTTTAGTAATAAGTGCCCCTAATATTGTTTTAACATAACTCTTATGTGTTTAGCCTAGTTTGTTATAGGCTGAAAATTATATATATATATATGTATGTATGTCTACATGCAGGGCAAAATCCTGACTCTGCTGAAGTCAGTGGTAAAACTCCCCTTGACTTCAATGAATCCATGACTTCATAGTTTCTCTCCCCCTCATGCATATTCTGTAGAACAGTGGTTCTCAACCAGGGATACATGAGCCTATGGGGGTTTCCAGAGATCCTCCAGGGAGTAAATCAACTCATCTAGATATCTGCCTAGTTTTACAACAGGCTACATAAAAAGTACTAGCAAAGTAAGTACAAACTAAAATTTCAAACGGACAATGATTTGTTTATACTGCTCTATATACTATACACTGAAATGTAAGTACAATATTTATATTCCGATTGATTTATAATTAAATGGTAAAAATGAGAAAGGAAGCAATTTTTCAGTGTGTGCTGTGACACTTCTGTAGTTTTATGTCTGATTTTGTAAGCAAGTAGATTTTAAGTGAGGTGAAATTTAGGGGTACACAAGACAAATCAGACTCCTGAAAGGGGCATAGTAGTCTAGAAAGGTTGAGAGCCACTGCTGTAGAACCTCAGAGTTACAAACACCAGAGTTACAAAGTGACCGGTCAACCATAAATCTCATTTGGAACCAGAAGTATGCAATCAGGTAGCACCAGAGACCAACCCAACCCCCTCCCCTTGTCCCCCCCCCCCAAAAAAAAAACCCCGGTAAGTACAGTACAGTACTGTGTTAAATGTAAACTACTAAAAATATAAAGTTTAAAATTTTTTTTGACAAGATCAGGAAACTTTCTGTGCTTGTTTCATTTAAATTAAGATGGTTAAAAGCATTTTTCTTCTCCATAGTAAAGTTTCAAAGCTGAATTAAGTCAATGTTCAGCTGTAAACTTTTGAAAGAACGTTTTGCTCAGAGTTATGAACAATCTCCATTTCCGAGGTGTTTGTAACTCCGAGGTTCTACTGTCAATGCTTCTAACAGGTTATTCCCTGACTCTCTGAGACATTATTACTTTCCATGTTCCCATGGCGGTTGATTCTTGATGCTTGGGACACTCATTCAGTATTAGCTTCTGACTACAGAAAAAAATCCAGATTTGAAAATTGACTTTCGCAGCAGAGGTCACCACAAGAAGTCACAAAGCATTGTTGTTCGATTTTAAGCATTCCAGTTCTCTGAAATACATATTAAGGGTAAGAATGTATAACATTTATGTTGATTTCTTAATTGATTTCTTTATGTTGAGTGTGAGCCTCCAGTTAGGAGAAAAAAAGTTCCCAAGTTATATTCACTGGATTTTAGCCAGGAAGGTTTCCATAAATATTTTATTGGGAAGATTATTACAAGGTTTACATTCACTTCAGTGTTACATTTTCTCTTAGATGTCAGCATCTGTCTGCTCATGGGATTTGTATCATGCACTTGGACATGTCTGATCAAGGAGTGATATTAGAATGTTCATGTCAAAACTTTGTTCTAAGGAATGAGACTCCTTCCACACACAGCCAGCCAATGGAAAACACCCACAATGTTTACTATCACAAGACATAATATGTTCTTGTGATATTAATATAAATTGCCAATTTTGCAGAGTTTTACAGTCTGGTGACTTCATTCTCTTTTTACAATGCATTGAAAAATTGTCATAATTGTTACTTCAGAGGCTTCAGTGGTTACGTAGAGACCCGTGAGTGACTTGTTTTTGTTTGAGGTGGCACCAATAGTTATGTTGATTAGGATCAGCTCTGAATTCATTGCAACTGGGGTTCTTTCTATGAACCTGGCTGTGCAAAACTTAAGACGAATAGCACTCACGCAACTAGACCTTCTGTGTAGAATGTTTGCTTGTTTACAGAACTTGTTATGGAAGTGTTGTATAAAAGTGATATATGTCTGTATACATGTGTATATGTAGACAGTTTAATAGAACACCTTGTATTGGCATATAAAAATATTTAACATTGCCTGTAAATTTGTAGGTTCAATAAAGTTGTTTTTTTATGCACTGCAACTGACTTGCAATGTGCAGCCCTTAAGAGATATGAAGGTGTAGGGTTACTGTTGTGATTTTGACTCAACTGGTGTCATGGCTATCAAGATTAGACCCCAGACTTTGTTTCCACATAGCTGAATGAGCTGAATGCTCCTGAATAGTTTTAGCAGCAGTTTTACTGGAGGGTTGTATTTATTTAGTGTTTATAGTATATTCATCATAAGAAATTAATTTACAAAAATACATTAAAGTAAAATTGGGGACCAGAGATAAGTCAACCTAAACATGGGCATTCTGAATTCATGTTGTGATTCCATACATCTTATTTTGATTTAAAAGGCCAAATTCATTCTGCTTTAAGTTTTGAGTTCAGCAGGATTACATCAGGGGTGAATGTGCCCCGTACTGTGCAAGTGTGCGTAATGGGCATTAATGATAACATGAGTTATGTGTGTATACTAAGTGAAAAGTAGGCTCCTATGATGTCATACATCTTGGAACCAGGTCACTGAACATGGCAAGCATGTCTTCTGGGTTAACAGTGAAAGCAAACGCGAATAGTCTTTCAGATGGAAAGGAAATATTCAGAGCCATTATGGTATAATGCACCTTAGGCTAGTATTAAATAATAAATTGGGTGTAAAGTTTTATGAATTTACCTTATGTATTTTATTAAGACATATTATTGAGTTTTAATTTAAATTGCTCTGACAAATATAATATGATTTGATAAATTAGTCAAATAATTTTTCATGTTTTGGGCTTCTCCCTCACATTCCCTGACTGAGATCCCACTGAATTCTATTCTCTCATTTTGAGAGTGTATGGAACAAAATAGGCTCTATTCTCAAATATTTACTGAAGATTAGGTAGGTGGATCTCAATTCCAGCCCCTCACCCCCACCCCAAATTTCAGTATATGCCAAAATGTACTGTAGGAAGTACATAGCTCCTCAAAATCTTCATAAAAATACTTGTCCACCCACTGACATATTTGTAGATTCTCGGGATTAAGACGTTCAGATATGTACACAGCGATTGTTGTTGGACAAAATGGGGAAAAACAAAATAAAAAACAAAAACAGTTTTGGGAGAAGTTGCCCATCTTGGAGGCTGGATAACTTGCACAGTGAGGAAGGATGTTTTTTGTGG